GCGTAGAGAATCTTGATCAGATATTATATACTTATATGGATGTCGTGCTCCATGGCTTCACAATGAGACCCGCACATTCGTGCTGCGAGTGCAGCAGCATGCCTGGCTCGTTTTGCAAACTGCCTGTTACGATATGAACATGCAGTCGGGGAAGCCGTGCACACACTTTACAAGCCGTGCAGGTCCAGAAGCGAGATAGTGTCCTATATAGGCCTGTGCAAGGAGTGCCTGACGGTCTCGATGAGGTGTGCTCGTCCGGCCTTAATTATGCAGGTGGGAACTTCATCATGCGTAGTGTGTTTCAGCGCAGCAACAGTGGGCAAAGCCCGCAGCACTCGCATGTGCAAAGCAGAATCGGAAGAAAGATGCAATCATGCAGAGTGTTGATCATGCATGCATGAAATACGACCTCATCTGTTGCTACATGTTCGCCGCATGCAGGACCGATTGGAGAACTGATAGTGGAAGCTGCGGCTGAGCCTTTGGCGGGTCCACGGCATCCAGCAGCTCGCGATGGACCTGAGACATTGACAAATCACGCTGCCGATAGTCGCAAGCGCAAGGCTCCGAATGCAAACAAGGAGTTGTTCGATACGTGTGGAAAGCTACCCTAAACCCTATAAAACCCTAAACCCTATCCCTATATATATATATATATATATATATATATATATATTGCATGCACGAGGACCCAGACGAACTCGTGGAAACCCTGCTGATGAAATACAGCACTGGGAAATGCAGCGCTACCGGGGTTACTATGTACTGCATCTATCTACATTTTTGGTATACATGAAGTGCACGCCCACACACACATATATGTGCATGTCATGCAAGGTGCAGGAGTTGGCTTCGGGTGCTGTGGCGTGGTGTGCTGCAAACGGCGGGGCTCCAGCTGCTAAAGATATGGTTTCCAAGATGGCAAATCTGGGAACAGCAGGGCGGCATAAACAGAATGCCGAACGAGATCTTCAAACGGCCATCCGTATGTATGGGCGTTCCCTTGGGGCAAAGATCGAGACTTGCAATGTGAGGGTTTGGGACCCTTCTGAGAATGTTGTTGTTTCGCAAGAGATTGAAGCTGCTTGCCTATTGCTTTAAGGGTCATGCTTAATTAGTATACTGACACTTTTTTGCATAATGTCTTATATCTCTGCAAAACTAGTGCCCTTTCTCAGGTCATGTTTCCAGACACGCTGGCCAGATGTTTGTGGAGCCGGTCACCGGCCCTGTTTGAGCATCTATTCTTTGGGAAGGCTGGCCGGGACGGTGCTGCTGAATTCTGGGACAATGCGAAGCTACGTTGTGCATGGTATCCGCCAAATATCAGGGAGAATGAGCACCGCGGCCTCGTTCCTCTGTCGCTGTATGGGGATGATGTGCAGGCTTACAGGACCTCGAGTATAAGGTTTTCGTTTTATATTTTATATAAGACTTATATGTTTCGCGGTATTATCATCTCATTCATATGTGTTTGCGAGGAACTCAGATCCGGGGGCAATCTCTGCAATCGGATGGTGTAGCGACTTTGGCCGGGGAAACGAAGCCATGCTGCAGTATTTCCTTTGTACTGTATATGCAGAGTACTGTGCATGTGATGAAACTTACAACGATCTTCTGGCAGCCTTGCTGCCTCGTTTTCAATCACTCTGTGGGACAGACGAACAGCTGAACCCATGGTGTTCTCACGGGATTCGGTTTGTGTTGACTGGAGTTCAGGGAGACCTCAAGTGGTTACACGTGCAGTACAAACTGCACAATTACAACGCGAATGCTTGTTGCAGCTGTTGTGATGCAAAGAAAAACGACCCCAATCCGTACAAGACTATTGCCTGCTTCACCGACTCGCACCAGTTTACCTTGACTCCTCACGAAGCGTGGTGTTCTGACCATCCTCTGGAAGATTGGCCTCTACCAATGCTCTATGGAGTTCGCCTCGAAAGATTTCTTCACGATGTTGCGCATTCGCAGCTGCTCGGGACTGGCAAAACACTGAACGGATCAGCGCTTGTATATTTAGCCGAATGTGGCGAGTTCAGCGAGAACTTCGTTTTTCCTTCCCGTGGCACATATACTGTGAACTTGCAAGTCACACTACGCCAAGCCTATCTGGATTTCAAAAGATGGGTCAAACAGGCCGGACTACGTGTCAATCATCCTCGCTTCACTGTTGCACGTGTGAACAGAAAGAACAGGATGACACATCCGTGTCTGGCATCGAAAGCCATTTCAGGCAAAATTGTTTTATTTTGGGTCGCTGCTCGCTGTGCTGCACGAGCCGAGCGTACTGGAGCAGAACTGGATAAATTGGTCGCGCTGACTACGTGGGCCTACGCGAGTATGCTCAGGCGCATGGACCATGGTCCGCTTGTTATGACTGCCGAGGATTCTGAAGCGCTGTATCAGGACGGCATGTTGCATTTGCGCTCATACGCACGCTTGCGTGCGTTGAGTGCGCAGATACGGAAGGGCAAAGTTTGCAATCGCAGCTCATGGACTATACTCCCGAAGCACCACCACTTGTGGCATGCTCTTCACGAATGCAGAACCACCCGGGTCAACCCCAATTGCTACAATCTACTATCTGCTGAAAGCTGGGTAGGCAGTATAGGGCGCATGTCCAGGATTCTCGTCCAATATATTAGTTTACAGTTTTTCTATTTACTATTCGCTGTACGTACAAATAAAGATCGTCCACGTGCACTATACCAAGGACTGCTCATCGAAGCTCGGTGAGTTTGAGAACAGTTCAACGATACCTATGCGTCCTACGGATTCGCTTGCTGCAGCTGGAGAAAGATCTGAGCTCCCGGCAGAACTCCGGATGATCGCGCAGATGCAAAACATCGGCAGCATTTGAGTTACAATTGGGTTTCTAGCGGCATGGGGATCCTTTATAAAGGGTCTTTTCTATCTGGGGATCCTATATCCCTGTTGCAAAACCCTCAACCACGATGAGGCTAGCACGCAACGCCCAATTTCGAAGCTTGAGCTTATGCCTCCATCCCAACCCGACATCGATAAGATCTACGCGATGGTTTATGTGGCCTGCTGGCCCGCAGCTGCTCATGATTCTGCTTTTGCACTATCTATATGGCATTGTAGCAAAACTGAACCTCTTGAGCCTACAGAGGCTGTTCATGGGGCCGATGGGGCCTTGGCTGGGAAGGGTCATGTGCTTCTGGGGCCTTCAGGGCCCTTCAGCGAATCGTCCCCGAAGGCCCTTTTGACACCGACGACCCCAACTCCAAAAGAGCGTTAGGGTAGGGTTTTTTTTCTAAAGGTGTAGGGTTGAGGGTTTAGAGTTACCACGAAGCTGGAAGTCTAGAATCCGGAATTCCCGGAGCTATGGTCAGTACGTTGACCAATAAGTACGGGTACTTCGAAGCAGGAAGTCTAAAAACCGGAATTCCCACTCCTTGGGGACCAAATGATCCTGATATGTAGGGGCCCTATACCCTTATACTATGAATCCCAAGATCGTATATGGGTAGTTCTCTAAATTAGGGTCCCTTTTTAGGTCCCCAATATAGTACGGCACCCTTATAAAAAAGGACCCTAAAAGGGACCCTAATTTAGAGAACTACCCATATGAACCTGAAAACCTTTTGGGGATCCTTTCGTCCCTAAGGCTGATGCTAAGAAGCTGGGAATTCTAAAAGTCGAGAATCCCGAATCCGAGGTCTGGGATCCGGAACGGTTTAGGGTTTAGGGTTTAGGGTTTAGGGTTTAGGGTTTAGGACTCCGACAATCAAACGTAATAATGTAGGGGCCTGAATAATTAGAATAGGGTTTTGGAGTATAGATTGCTCAGTTATATTAAGGAGCTTCTCAGATAGTATGGGTAATTAGCACGGCCCCTACATTAAGTAGAATTTCAACCAATTAATTGATAAGTGTTCCATTTCTCTAGCTGCCGAAGGCCACTTGCGGCCATGGCAATCCCTGGCACTACTGATGCTGCCATCCCGGAGGCCCGGAAGCATGGATTACTGTTAGGGTTTAGGGCCGGTTAGGGTTTAGGGAAAAAGACGAATTTGGAGGCCCACCAGGCTACGCTTGTACTCGGAAAACCTTTTTGGAGGCCCCATAGTTCTGGGCTCTTTCGGAACCCCTGCCTAAACCCTCAACCCCTAAACCGTAGCTCTCTTGTACTCCAAAACACGATTTCGAAGGCCCCCGGTCATAGACCTCTCGCCTAATGTAGAACAGGGTTTTGGGGTATACTTTACTATACATATAACAGAGGAACCCCCAAAAGAATATAGGTAATAATTGAGGCCCCTACATTACTACGTTTGTACTCGAAAACACGACTTTGGAAAACCTGGCACTAAACCCTAAACCCTAAACCCTAAGCGCACCGGCACCGTGCTTTTCCCTAAGCACCCACCGTGCTTCCCCCAAGTACTGGCGGATTCAAAACTCCGATCTCAGCCTCCAGGCCTCATTCGGAGTTTGAGGCGTTTAGGGGTTTAGGGGTTTAGGGTTTAGGGGTTTAGGGGTTTAGCGGTGTAGGGGTTTAGGGGTTTAGGGTTTAGGGTTTGAGGATCCATTCGGCGGCAGCACATGTTTCGGAAGGAAAAACCTATGCACGAATAAAAACGAACGCATATTCAGGGCCATCACATTCAGAGCAAGCTCAAATCGCAGCACAACAGAAAACCCCAAACCCCAAAAAGCCATAAGTGTGCAGGGCTTGCGGCGTCTACCCTTCACCTGGCACCTATCTAGTGGCCCAGCACCTGCGACATCACTCAGCAGGGTAGGTGTCGGGTCTGGAGCACTACAACACACCCGAATCACCCATGGAGCAAAGCCCCAACATGCCCACCTGCCCTAAGCCGGTAAAAACCCTTCACAGCCCACAAGCCCCAAACCGCAAACCGTAACCCCTCAACCCTGATTCTAAGCCCTGAACCCCTCTAGAACCCCAACAGGAACCTTGAACCTTGAACCCTAATCCCTCAAGCCCCATAGCCCGAGAACCCCGGACCCACCTAGTGCAATGCTTCAAGGTATTCAGCAGGAAGGACGTGTTGTCACGGAGGCATGGAAGAACCTGTAACTGGGGCTTACTATAGGGGCCCTAATGATTAGAATAGGGTTTTGGCGTATATTATACTAAAATTCTAAACAGGAACCCCAAAAGTAGGATAGGTAATTATTGCGGCCCCTATGTCAGGGTTTTGTCGGGGCTAAGGCTTAAGGAGTTTAGAGCTATAGGGGTCTAGGGCTTATAGGAGGCTCAGTTCAAGCTTGGGAATCTGGGGATTTAGGGTTTGGGTTTTAGTCGGGGGGAAAGCTTGGAAGTTTAGGCGTTTAGGTTTAAAGCAAAAACAAGGCTAGGGTTGCAAGATCTTGGGTCTACCTTAAACTACCAAAACCTACTTTTTTGTAGGTCCCTATACATTCGATATTAGGGTCGAATAAGGACCTACATAAAAGTAGGTCATGGTAGTTCAAGGTATGCCTAGGGTTGTGGGAAAGAACCTAGAAAGTTCAGGATATTCCGGGTCTATAGAGCTCAGAGCCTACAGTTTGTCTCTTGCTGAACGTTGTTGATCGGGTGAGTTCTGTTCGGTGGGTCGTCTGTCTTAAGGAGAAAGCCGTTAAACTTCAGCTCAGAACACCTGTAATGTAGAAGCCTACGAACTTACTCAGTCTTGAACCTGCACCAAGCCCATATTCAAATCATGAAAGCCCGGGTATCAAGCTCCAGCTTCCTAAACCCTAAACCCTAAACCCTAAACCCTAAACCCTAAACGGGCCCTCGTCCTCTTCTCTGGCACAAGGATGAACGGGTTTACGGTTAGGCTTAGTGTTTCGGGGTTTAGGGTTTAGGGTTTAGGGTTTAGGGTTTTGGTAGGGTTTTGCTTGCAAAAGCCCATAAAGCCCCAAGCCCTCATTGCTTAAACCCCTTTGGGCATTCGGGTTTAGGGCTTGGGGCTTAGCTAAGGTGCTCGAAACCTTGAGCCCTACTAGCGGCGGCCCTAGCTTGACCCGGACCCTAGACCACCAGACCCTAAACCCTAATCCCTAAACCCCTGAACCCTATAACCCTAAACCCTAAACCCCTGAACCCTAAACCCTGAACCACAAACCCTAAACCCCTAACCCTAAAAACTGAACCCTAAACCCCTGAACCCTAAACCCTAAACCCTAAACCCCAAACCCTAAACCCCTGAACCCTAAACCCTGAACCCTTTTAACCCTAAACCGCAACCACTAAAGCCCCATACCTGGAACCATGGCACCCCAGACCCGAAGCTCTGAAGCAGAGTCAACCCCCAGTTCCCCAAAAACCCTGAACCACTAGACTAAAGGAAACTACAGGTGGGGACTTTAGGGCTTTTGGGGTTTAGGGTTTAGGGTTTAGGAAACTACAGGTGGGGAGTTTAGGGTAGATAGGGCTTCTATAAGGCTTCCATGAGGTATATAAACCTTCTATAAGGCTCCTATAACGGTAACTACCCACCTGTGGCTCCTATAACGGTAACTACCCACCTGAAAATGTCCTAGACTAGACTCACTAATGTAGGGGCCTTCATAACTAGAATAGGGTTCCTTTAAAGGGTTCCTTAAAAAAGGGATACTATAAGGGTTACTATAAGGGTTCTATAAGGTAGGGGCCTTAATAATTAGAGTTTTGGGGTTCAGTATACTTGTATTATACTAAAGGAACCCCCCAAACTAGTAATAATTAGAATACGGTTTTGGGGTGCATTATACTTTTAGTATACCAAAGGAACCCCCAAAACTAGTAAACAAATAGAATACGGTTTTGGGGTTTATTATACTTTTGTTATAGTAAGGAACCCCGAAACTAGTACTGCTTTTCTTTATCACTTCTAATACTAATTTTAATACGAGTACTATTACTAGTATTCATATGGAGACAAATATACGACTATTGGAACTACTTTGTTATAGTAATTTATAAGGAACCCCGAAACTAGTACTGTTCTTTTTTAAATTAAGGCCCTAAACCCTAAACCCTAAACCCTAAACCCTGAACCGCTAAACGGTGCCTCCAGCCAACTCGACGTCTTCAGCTCGGACCTCTCCAAGATCGGGAGAAGACGAAAACTTGGCTGAGACTCCAACACAAGGGGCTTAGGGTTTTAGGGTTTTTAGGGTTTTGGGTTTTGGGTTTTAGGGTTTTTAGGGTTTAGGGCTTTAGGGCTTTAGGGCTTTAGTGCTTTTAGGGTTTAGGGTTTTAGGGTTTAGGGCTTAGTTTAAGGGCTCCTTTCTGGGGGGTTGGGTTTAGGGTTGAGGGTGTCAGAGTTAATGGCTTTTCATGGGTCTAGGCTACCCAGTGGAGCAGGGCCCCTTCTCGTGCCATGATTCGGGGAATAGCCCAAAGAGTCCAATACCTCAACATCACAATGCTGATAAGCCTGGGGTCTTGGATGTTGTGAGTTTTCTCAAAGCCCTGTTGGGCACCCTTCTGCAACCATGATGTCAAGATCTGCCAAGTTTGCGCGGTCTTTGGTTGCTCTATAGCCCTGCCCCCTGGCAGCCATTCACCCCAAAACCCCAATTCCCAAACCCGAAACCCGACCCCCAGCCAGAAAGTTGGAACATCATTCTCCTCATGCCCTTAAGGTAAGATATAAGGAATCCCAGCACTCACCATTCCAACTCCACGTTCCAACTTTCTGGGGTTCACTGTAAGCCCCCCCCTAAACCCTAAACCCTGAACCCTAAACCCTAAACCGGTTCAGTGCCCGACCTCTTGGCAAGTCTGGCAGCAAGCCCTGGGATTGGTCGTAGCTGGTCCTCACCAGCTTTCAGCAAAACCTGAGGGTTTAGGGTTTAGGGTTTAGGGTTTCGGGAGGGGGTTTAGGGAGGGAGCAAGAGCTGTGCTTCACACACGCGCTTTAGCTCCTTGTCTGGTGGACCCCATAGAGCTCACCCTACAGAACCTACCTTGTTAGGGTTCCGGATTATGACTTCCTTGTAGGAATCCTTAAGTCGGTTACTTTCGGTCCCGGTAGGGCTTGATGGATATTCAGGTGCTTGAAAAAGCCCGCGAAACCCGACTCCTTCAACTGCTTTAGGCTGTTGAGCTTGCTTTGTTGGTTGAGGCCCCTCAACCCTAAACCCCCAGACCCTAAGCCCTTAACCCTAAACCCTAAGCTAAAACCCAAACCCTAAACCCCAAAAGCCTAAACCCTAAACCCTAAGCTAAATCCCAAACCCTAAACCCCCAAACCCTAAACCCTCTTTCTTCTTTCGGGGCTTCGGGCTGAGGCTCAAGACATAATTTGCTGTGTCCTGGGCTCCGACGGCATAATATCGGACCTTAATATTTAGAATAGGTTTAGGGTTTAGGGTTTGGGGTTTAGGGTTTAGGGTTTTGGGCTTCTTTATTCTAGAAGTATACTGAGGAAACCTAACAACAATAGTGGCAATTAATTAGGCTTCTATATTATGAGTCAGGGTTCCTTTTAAATGGGGTCCAGTTGGGGCTGCCACAAGTCCATAAGGGCTCAATGTAGAGTCCCTAATCATGAGAGTGGGCTTTCGGGGGTGCATTATACTACGTTATGCTGTATAGGAAGGAACCCATTGCTGCTTAGGGTTTAGGGTTTAGGGTTTAGGGTTTAGGGTTTAGGGTTTAGGGTTTAGGGTTTCATCTTTACACAAAGTTATACCCGGATGCAAGGAATCACATGTCTGGGAGACAAAACCCTAAACATGCCTAAACCTTAAACCGTTACTGTTGCTACCTGTTCCGACCATGTAGGTTCAGGTTTAGGGTTTGACAGACTTGCTCTGGAGACTTTTCCAGGGATGCACGGCAAGGTTGGCTTCTAAGGACTTGAGCGCTCATTTTCGGAAACTCCCAAATGGGGGTTTCCGAATATAGGGGACCCTAATATGGTACCCTAAATAATAGGATCCTTAATATAAGGACCCCAAAATAAGGTACCCCTAATTTTCGGAAACTCCCAAATCAAGGACAAGCAGCCTCGCGGTGCTTGGGGTCCATGCCATCCCAGAAAGGAGCGAAGAAAGTGAGTACTTCGTCAAGGAATACATCATCCTGCTGGTGATGTAGGATATAGGGTTTGGGTTTTACGGTGTTGGGTCCAGGGCTTATTTGCTGTCCCAGCCGAAAGCTCGCACGCGCAAGCCGAAAACCGTTTCCTCGGAATCATATACCTTGTCTGTTGTCCCTATGAGTCTACACAGTACTACACACCAACACTGTGTTTCCGGTCCCTAAGCCCTAAACCCTAAACCCCTAAACCCCTAAACCCCTAAACCCTAAACCCTAAACCCTAAACCCCTAAACCCCTAAACCCTAAACCCTAAACCCTAAACCCCGGCCCCTAAACCCCACAACATCTCTTCAGACCCTGCACTCTGTCGGAGGAACCTTTGGGGTCCGTATTAGGTGGAGGCTGCATCCCCAAAGGGTCCAAAGTACCCATATGGTAGAATGTAGGGTCTCTATAAGGGTTTAGGGTTTAGGGTTTAGGGTTTAGGGTTTAATATGAACTGCTATTATGGTTTGGGCAAGTATCAGACATACAGGTACTTTGGACCCTTTGGGATCTTAAGGGCCGAGATGCCGCCCTACGTCAACGATGGGAAGCGATGCTTCGCATTCGCACTCCGATGTATGGGTAGTTCTCTAAATTAGGGTCCCTTTTCAGGTCCCAAAATAGTACGTCACCCTGATTTTGTGTTTTTTTTTTAAGGACCCTAAGAGGGACCCTAATTTCGAGAACTACCTGTCTTTGCGATTTGCGGTTCCGGGTTTAAGGTTTAGGGATAACTTCCCAGAGACTCCAAAACCCCTTAGTTAAGACAATAGACCTTAAAGCATAGTGGGAACCCCCAAACGATTTTCGGCCTATTCCTTAGTTAAAGGATATTTCAGTCGCTGGGTTTTTCTTTTCGCCAGGTTCCCCAATAACCCCACAAGAAGAAAGTCGCGCTTTAAGGGCTTAGTGTTTAGGGCTTATAGGGTTAGGGTTTAGGGTTTAGGGTTTATTAGGGTTCAGGGTTCAGGGTTTAGGGGTTAGGGTTACTTTTCAAGCCTACTTAGGCTACGACGGAGACCCCTAAAAATGTAATGGGCTTCTGGGGCGGGGGGGGGGGTCCTACCAGGGGACCTGGCCGGAGATTGAGAGTGAGTGCCTACAAAGAAAGCCAGGAAGG